CCACCACTCAGGCCGTGCGCGGGCTGCTCGGGTCACACTGCGCTGTACTCCCAAATCGCCTCCCGGAGCGCATTTCTACACGCTCAGCGACCTGAGGACAGCTGAACTGCTAGTTCCCCGTCTTGAAGAGGGTGGCGATGGAAGGCTGGGTAAGAACAAGCCGCCGCCCGAGTCCCTGGGCGTCCTCCTGGTTCTCCGCGGGCTGGTTTTAGGATGTGTCAAAGCGCCACCTAGAGCGGAGAAACCGGACCGCAGCCACACTGATGGAAACGCGGCGTTTGTACGCGCAGTTTGCTTGCACAATCTGCACGGTGAGCAGCTCTGTGATTCCACATAGAACCCTGACCTTGTTTTTAAATATCTACATTTTAAAATGTGAACCCCAATGAAATTTGTATGTCTTGATTTTTTTTTCATTTTTTTGCAATGATCGTCAATAGATTCGCGCGGCGCCTGTGGTTCCAAGGAGTAAGGCACCGGCCGCAGATGCCGGAGGTGGCGGGTTCAAACCCAGCCCTGGCCAAAAATAAAAAAGAAGAAGAAGAAGATTTTCAATGGATTAATTGCTATAAAACTTCCTAATCACTTCTCCAAGTACATGTTTTGAATTGAGAAGAAAGATTGTATTTCATATCTGTGATGCTAGTAACGTGAGCAAACTGTAAGTTAACTATGCAGGTGTCAGAAGCAATAAATCCAACTTTCTGTGCCAAAAAAACAAAAAAAATCTGGCCTCAAGGACGACTTGAAACCTGTCTCTGGCAGATCAATTCGCTGAACCTGTAAGGAAATAATTAAGTCTGTTTCTGCCTCCAACACTTTGCTGGCTTACTTAGCAACAGGAGAGCTCTGGGAGGATTTGTAAGGCCTGGCTTACTTTCTGATCTTTGGCGTCTAAGGAGTGGATTGATTAATTTACCAGTATTTGTGTTCAGCCATATAAGGGATGACTTGGGGGAAACTTAGCTCCTGAAGACAAATTATTTTTCTTCTAATATAAATCAAGACTCTGTAATTCCATGGGAAATGAGCTTAATCTGTTTTGTGCCTTGGAGCAGGTATGAGGGCAGCACAGACTGGAGGCGGGGTAGCTCTCGGGGAGCCCAGCCTCATGTGGTAGCTCTCTGCCCCATAGCCTGCCGTAGGAGAAAGGTATGGACGCCTGTTGTCATCTGCCTGCCTGTCCATGCAGTGTGGAAATGATGGGATATTTTAGAATCTATGAAGTAGCCATTTTAACTGAATTCTGAGCAGAAAGGCTGGTTTCTTCATCTCTGATAGTTGGCTGTCAGAAGCCGGGGCTGCCACCCATTTGATTCTCCTCCACAATTAGCTGCAGGGCAGGGGGCCAGGGCATGTGCTGTCTGGTGGGCATGCACTTAGACATCCTTGGTGGGCATTTTTGCGTCAACATTTCTAGTTGTGGTTAGATGTCTAAATACTGAGAACATTGAAGAGAGAAAATCAGCGAGCCCTTTGGTAACCTTTTCCCGGGTTAAATTCAAGCACACCTGGTCATGGAGGCCCCTAGGCTAGCAGGTGAGGGTACGGCAATTCTGTGCTTTCCAGATTGTTCACACTTGAAGTATCTGACCGGGATCAATGGAAACAAAACCAAACCCAAACCCTGTGCTCCCCAAATCTCTCACTGCACTGGCTGATGGTCTGATTTCCTTCTCTCAGCTTAGTGAGGTGAGTGCTGTGTGTGACAGCTGGCTCATTTCAGAGCTGTGAGCAGTAGTTTCAGAGTTACTCCTAACTACACTCTAATTCTTTTTGGCAGAAAGAAATAGGAATGGAATCACAGTTTTCAAAGATAGGGTGAGGTTTTACCTCTGTAGCCCCTGGCCACGTGGGAGAGCCCGAGGACAAGCACAGACTCTGAGGTGTAAAGATGGGAGCTTATACTTTATACACCTGGATATTCTACTCCCCGCTGACTGATTCTGCATAGCAGATATTTACATTATGATTCATAACAGTAGCAAATTTACAGTTATGAAGTAGCAACGAAAATAATTTTATGGTTGGGGGTCACCACAACATGAGGAACTGTATTAAAGGGTTGCAGCATTAGGAAGGTTGGGAACCACTGATCTAAGTAAAGACCAGCTAGATTTTGAGCCCTAGACTTTAGCAAGGAATTAGAAAGCACAAGGATATTTTGATGTTTTTAAAATCACAAAAAGTGTTTTATTTTAAAAAGTATCAAGCCTTATTTTCTGAAAAGTCAAAAATTAAAAAATAATAATAAAGTAAAACAGGTGAGCAAACATCTTGTACACGCTATTCAGGAAGGTCTGAGTCGTAGAAGAGGGGAGGGCTCAGGGAGGGAGATTCCCTGGCAAGAGCTTGTGACCTGATGGCTCAGCTGCCAATCTGCAGGGGGAGGGGCATAGAATGTTTGCCGTTTCCACGGGAACAGCCTAGCCCAGGCTGCTGGGTGGAAAGGAGGCGCGATGGCTGAGCACTTGGAGCCTGGATGTAAGTGGATGTTGAGTCTTATGTTGGCTTTTGATGTTTGCCTGGCGTTCGATTGCCTAGAATCCAGCTTCCCTGAACCAGTCTGAAAAGTGAAGACATTTTCTGGTGTCTGCAGATCAGCTGCAGGGGTGCTGGGGTCAGGGAAGGATTTGGGCATGGGCCTCCTTCTCTGGGAAACCTAACAGTAACCAAGTACCAAGGCAGGGCATGTGAGTGTGCACAGCACGAGGATGTGCAGAGTGTGTACACATGTGAGTGTGAGCGATGGAGGGAGGGGCAGGTTTCTGGCACTCTTAAAGAGAAATTTTCTGAGGCACGTTGCCCTTCCCCTGACTTCACTAAAGGACCACAAGGCCCAGAGCATCCATCTCCATCGTGTGTGAAGCACATTCCGTTCTTGGTCTCTCACTTCATGTAGCTTCGTAACCCTGAAGGCTGGGTGTTAATGGGGTCTTATGGATGGGAGTTTAAGGGCAAGGCTGCTGCTCTTCCCACACCTGCTGGGCCTGAAAACTGATCAGATGACATCTGGGTGGAGGGAGAGATTGCTGGACTGAATTAAACAGTCTAAATTGTACAATACTTAAATGAAAAGTGTTTTATTGTGTCACAGTGTTCTGAGTACTGTTTATGTGCAGGTTAGTGGCCGCTTGAGAGCTCAGGCCCTGGAGGCAGCTTATCATATTAGACATAATTGCATCATTTGTATCTCAGTTTCCTCATCTGTCAGGGGAGCACAGTCGCAGTGCCACCTCCTGCGCCGTGGTGAGGGTCCCATTAGCGCCCCACACACTAGCTGTGCAGCAGACAGCTGTGGTAAAAGGTCTCCCAGCCTTGGAGGTGCTGTCTTTTACTTGAATATAAAAATGCTTCTCGACTCACTACTGTAACCCACCGGAGGCTGAAGGTATTGCAAGTCAAAACGCTTAGATCCCTGACCCCGTGAGCATCAGAGCCTGCCTGGCCAACCTTCAATGGTGCAGGCACTGACATTCACCTCCACTTGGGAAAACCGTGTCACATGAAGCTGCTCTTTGATAAAGTGCTGACCATCTTGTGGAACGCACTCCCTACTGCACAGGTCCTGAACGTGTGATTTCTGCTGAGCACTGTCGGCACAAGTGAAGGACCCTGGTCTGTCCACACACAGCAGCAGCAGAGGTCTCACCATGTCCCTCTGGGCTAGGGTGGGGCTGTGCTGTGCCTGGGTGGCCACTGCAACCTCTCACCCCAAGGCCGATCCTAGTGCTCTGACCCCAGCCCTGCATCCCAACCCACTCTTAGGCAAAATGGAAATGTCCTGACTTTATTGTCACTGCTTACAGATGTGGATTAGGTGCAGAGATGGGTTTGCGTGTGGTCTGGGGCCCAGAGAACCCCCCTCCAGCCTCCTGTGCTCAGGGCCTGTGGAGTGAGGGAAACAAGGCAGGGGCTGGGGAGAGAGGCTTGTTCAGAAGCCAGTTCTCCCACTGGTCAACTGTCTGGACCTGACCTGGCCACATGAGGTCTCTCAGCATCCCTGTTTGACACCAGGCTGACATAGGCAGAAACCGCATGGGGAGCGATGGAGAGGAGAGGGTGAAGCTGCAGGCCCTTTGTCTCTCCCAGTACTCAGTGTCCCACAGCCACTGTCCTCACGGTGGAAACCACAGCAGAGGGGCAGTCTGGGCGGACCGGAGTTCTCTGAGTATTTAGTAAGGTGTGCCTGGTACTGAGATCTTTAGCACAGATACCTACCATTTACGAGCTGTCTGTTTTATGCCATGTACCTGTTTGCCAAAGATTGCATTTGGCTGCCAATCTACCATTTTGTGTGAGATGATTTTTTTCTGATTTTGCAGAGGAAGAAACTAAGGTTCAGAGAGAGCTTTTCATTCTCATATAGTTTGGAAACTGACTCAAAAGACTAAGTTTCCCTGATACTGTCCTCAGCCACATGCTGCAACAGAGCTCTGCCCAGGACACGTGTGAGGCCTGGCCCTCATGTGGGGGGTGTTGGGGTCCCCTCCACACAGCTGCGGACTTCTCTCTGTGGAGACGAGGCAGGAGGGGTGAACGGCCCATCAGTTGTCGAGGGGTTTGGTCAGGGAGTCCTCAGACATTTCGGAGAAAACCACAGTGTGAAGGACCTTGGGGAAACATCTTTCAGCATCCTCATGTAGAGTTATAATTCAGATTGCAGACTTTTCTTCTAGAACCTTTGCTCATATTGTCAGAAATACCCTGTCAAAGTACAGCACTCCACACTCCCTCCCGCTGGCGTCCAGGACTGGGACTTTCTGATGGGACACACTCTCTGGTCCAGTGGGTCCTGGTCCACACGCACCTTTGCCCTGCCGTGGGCGCGACTGGTAAGGTCGAGGCCAGGTGCTGCCGTCCTTTCTTTCCTGCCCCCCCCCCCCACACCCAGGGTGTGGGATTTGCCAGCTGAGCACGACACAGCTGCGTGCTGCAGGACTGGGAGTGGAGTCTAACAGACTTGTCTCTCCTGAGCAGTTTACCTCAAATGGAAGCACTGCGAGACCCCAGGGGTGAGGACTTTGTGCAATCTGAGGAGACTGCTGGACAAAATTCAGAGTGGCTACAGGGATGACATCTACCCCTACACCTCGGGGCATCTCAATCCCAACAAGCTCTACAGGCCTCCCGAGACGATCTTGTACCACTGGTCCAGTGCCCATAGGCCAAAGCCGCCAGACGTCCTCGATGTGAGAAGGCGGCCCCCGGAGAAGACTGCGCGGCAGATGAAAGAGGCTCTGGTCCACTTCACCATCAACACAGCTCTGCTTCCAGATGGCACCCAGGGTCTGCCGCCCCTCAGCTATCAGGCAGATGATTCCCACCCTTCAGAAGAGGATTTCATTAAGAGAAAGCTTCCAAAAGAAGAGAAAGAGGGGCTGAGGGAGGGCTCCCCTGATCACAGGAAGAGGGAGGAGCTCAGAGTGCCCGACCTGCAGGTGCTCAGGTACAAGGCAGCCGGCTCCAGCCGCGAGTGTGCCTTGTCACCCCCAGGCAGGGACCAGTACCACTATGTCAGCTCCTACTTAGCTGGGATAACAAAAGCGGACGGCTACAAGAAGTTCTTGAGTTTCCAAAAGGAAGTTCTTGCCAAGCACCATCTCCTGAGGAATGACTTCAAGGGGAACAAAGCAGCTGAGCACCACGAGAGGAAGCTGCACCAGGTGAGGGGGTGTGTCCCAGGTGGGGGGGGTGTCCCAGGTGGGGGTGTGTGTCCCAGGTGAGGAGGGAGTGTCCCAGGTGAGGAGGGAGTGTCCCAGGTAAGGGAGTGTCCCAGGTGAGGAGGGTGTGTCCCAGGTGAGGAGGTGCATCCCAGATTGAGAAGGGTGTGTCCCAGGTGGGAGGGTGTGTCCCAGGTGGAGGTGTGTCCCAGGTGAGGAGGGTGTGTCCCAGGTGGGGGAGTGCATCCCAGACTGAGAAGGGTGTGTCCCAGGTGGGGTGTGTCCCAGGTGAGGAGGGTGTGTCCCAGGTGGGGGAGTGCATCCCAGATTGAGAAGGGTGTGTCCCAGGTGGGAGTGCATCCTAGGTGAGAAGGGTGTGTCCCAGGTGGAGGGGATGCATCCCAGATTGAGGAGGAAGTGTCCCAGGTGGGGGTGTGTCCCAGGTGAGGAGGGTGTGTCCCAGGTGAGGGAGGTGTGTCTCAGGTGAGTAGGGTGTGTCCCAGGTGGGGGGGTTGCAACTCAGATTGAGGAGGGCATGTCCCAGGTGTGGGGGGTGCATCCTAGGTGAGAAGGGTGTATCCCAGGTGAGAAAAGTATGTCCCAGGTGGTGGGGTTGCATCCCAGATTGAGGAGGGTGTGTCCTAGCTGGGGGGATGCATCCTAGGACTGTCCACACACCTGGGCTGCTGCAAGGAGCCCAGGCCTTTGCGGGCACCGTTGACATGTCCAGGTGGGAGGTATTTGACATGATCAGGTCAGGGTAACACGGTGAAATGACAGAGGCTGCATGTGGAAACTGGTAAGGGGGAAGTTCATCAGAGGCTACAGTGCAGAGGTGGTGAACAAAATGTTGGTGGGAAAAACAGAAGGGTCTGTGAAGGGGGGTTGCTACTTAAATGTGAAATAAAAAGAACATGAGCATGGGGAGAGAGCTGGGGAGCTCGGCCCAGGGACCAGCTGTGTCTGTGCTAAGGGCCAGTGGGCCAGTATGAGGGGCTGAGCTTCTGGAGACAGCCAAGGGCTGGAGCAGCCCACGTTCACAGAGACTTTACCGCAGGTGGGGCCCATGCACAGCATTAAAGAAAATAGCTGTCTACCTGGGGAAATGTCCACACCTGGAGATTTGGGAGATGAGACTGGTGGAAGAGAGAAACGGGTGGGGGGAGGAATCCTGGAGGCAGAGTGAAGCCCTGAGCACAGGGTGAAGGGCAGGGTGAAGGGAGGAAGTAAAGGATGGGGGAAAATTGTTGGGTGGCCAGGTGCTGAAAGACTCAGCAGGGGCGGGATCAGGGCCACCTTGGTCTGCCACCTGCTCTACTGAGACAGTCCTCTGGATGATGGCAGCCATGTCCCTCCAGTTCCCGGCCCTAATAAATGCTGTTTTAAGGGGAGAATGGAGATGCCCTAAGTGGGCGGGTGCTGTTTCCCCAGGAGCTGCAGAGGGTCTGCACATGCGACCCACAGGAGTACAACAGACTGCAGGTCTTTGGAGATGTCTTTGAGGATATCTGCAACAGTTCTTTGATATTTGGTGATCTCCTGAGGGAAGTTAAGGTAAGAAACACCTCTTCTGCACAGCCGCAAGAACCAGGTGTGAGGCTCTGCATACATGAATAATCTCAGAGTCCCAGAAGTTCTGCCAAGTCCCACGGTCCCTTTGTACAGATGAGGATGACCACTCACAGAAACTGGAGGTGACCTGCCTGCAGCCAGAGGAATTACGAAAGGGCGGTGTGGAATGACCACCCCATTCGCTTTCCCCTAAGCCCATATTTTCCTGTTAGAGCTTCCTAATTACATATAACCTTCTATAAATTGAACATACGTTACATATAAGCTTTTGTAGTTATACATATGTAATATTTGAGTCCTTATGGAATTATATATTTTTTGTAGTTTTATGATGGAAACAATCTTCATATGGAAGCTGAGTTGAAATGAGATTGTCTAAAGATCATGCTGTTCTGAATTTTCCTAATGGGGAGGAATACTTAATGACAGGGGCGAACGGCCTGTCCTCCAGAGATGCCCTCCACACTGGGTGGCTCATCTCTGGCTGGTCTGCGGGCTCTCAGTGCACAGAACCTCTACATGCCAGGAGGGACTCTGTCATCTGTCAGCGTGCTGGGTGATTAATGGTTACCACCCAGAGATGCTTCAGAGAGGGTGTGCAGTGTTATAGCTGTCAGTGTGTTTAATCGAGTCTCTGTTTAATATGTTGTAGGAACATTTTATATTGTAATATTAAATTAGTAATATAGGAACATTTTATATAGTAATATTTTAAAATCTAAACTGACCTTATTTGCATACACAAAAACTCACCGTGTAATCTCCTAGTCCCGGTTTTCTGTGCTTATTGCAGGATGAATATGAGCTCTACATGGCCATTCTTCTGGACTCCCGCCCCACGGAAGAGTATAAGGTAACAGTTGTGAAGAACTCAAATAGAGCCTTTTGTTAATTCAAGGCTTCATGATTATTTCATGAAGAGAGAAAAGCATTGAATCCAAGAAGCCCTATTGGTGCCTTCATAATTATTTAGAATAGTCACTATTTTTTATAAGGCATGAGCTTTACTCTAGCTTAAGGACAATTATCAATCAATTTACATTCCCAGACTAATCCACCGATACAATCATCCTCATACAGTGTATGTGAGGTTTGGGAGCATAAATAGTGCTACGTCAGTCATTACC